GATGCATCAGCAGCAGTTACTCATGCAGCAGCAGCTTATGGGATTCATGCAGCATGTAGTGACAGCTCTTGGGGCCCCTTAGCCACAGCCTTCGTCCCAGATTGCTCAGCCTGCCACCACTACGACGACTCTAGCAGTACAGCCTAGTGGGCTTCAGAGTCAGGGACAGCCTCCAGCTCAGTTTTCTTCTCCCCCAGTACAGGTGTCCCAGTGGTTATCCTCGCTAGTGGTAGCCCCGTAGTTCACACCACTTCAGACAGGCTTCACACCAGATCAGTCATCCTCGCTATTTGTGCCTGACACGTCAGTCTCTAAGAGTCTTGGAGCATCTTTCAGCGAGTTGACAGGGATGCCTACACCGCCACATATGCATGCCCCAGGTCCTTCTACAGCAGCTCCAGTCATTGTGACTACTCAGAGGCTCCCTTCGTCTGTCGCATCTTCAGATCCTACGATAGATATACCAGCAGCATCACAGGCAGCACCTGCCCTAGCTCAGACCCAGACCGCTTCAGCGACGCTTCCAGCCACAGAGGGTCAGTCAACATAGAGCTCAGGGTCAGATGATGAGGCTGCCTAGTTTCAGCTTGCTCCTCATTCTTCAGCGCCCGACTCGTCCGCTGCAGCCCCACCGACCAGCCCTTAGGTTTTGCTGTTTGACGCCAAAGGAGAGAGGGTTCGAGTATGTAGACTCAGGGGGAGCGACATTTAGGGGGAGCTAGTTAGCTATTAGTCTTTTATATACATTTGGAGTTTTATCTATGTGATACACTATTACTATTATGCATTCGTGTGTTTACTTTCATGCATACTATTATATCTATGTGATAGTGATATCTACGTGATTGTGATATATGACATGTGTGCTCTCTACTTTGAATTCTTTAATATGTCATATCACTTGAGCTATGCTCATTTGCCTTTGCTTTCGCGTTTTTACTCCGATGCAAATGAGTCTTTCTTATTGTACTCATGCTTATTTCATATCATTTGAGTACATCATGATGGCTTGGGTTATATAAGCTTGACTAACTCTTTTGTTCTTATTGCTAAAAGCTTATATGATCCAAGCATGTTAAAAACCTCAACTCTCTCACATACTCGAGGTTGTATTGTCATCAATCACCAAAAAGGGGGGAGATTGAAAGCATCTAGGCCCTTAATTGGGTTTCGGTGATTAATGACAATGTTAGATTACTGTGACTAACGTGTGTTTTGCAGAGGCAATTAAGTTAGGTCACAGTAATGGAGATTGATTGGGCAATCAAGGTTGTCTTGCCCCTACGATGGAAATTATTTCGGTTTTCAAAGGATGGAAGACAAGATTAAGGATGACTAGTTCTAAATATCGATTGGAGTTGGAGAGACACTTAGAGTAGTTTAGGACTTTATTTTTCCTTTGGCCGTACTATTAAGGAGGTATGGACGGGTAGCTTGAACTAGGTGAGTCTAGTGAATTAGGTGTGGTGCACACTTGTTAAAACTAGCACTGGATAGCTCCTAAATATGCCTAAGATCTTTTGGAGCAAACTTCATTCACAAATGATCGAGAGTTAGAAGTTAATGGAGGGTCAAAGACTGACCGGACGCTGGCTCCGGTGCGACCGGACACTAGCCGCAGGCGGGCAGTGTCCGGTCAGTTCATTTGACTGAGGTGAACTAGTCCGGTTTGACTGGACGCTGGAGTGGTCAAGTGACCGGACGCTGAGGGCCAGTATCCGGTCGACTCCAGTATGGTTCCAGAGAAGAGAATCTGCGACCGGACGCGTCCGGTCAGTGCTGACCGGACCCTGAGGGTCCAGCGTCCGGTCGAGTACAGTAAGCATCCAGTGAGGGAAAAATGGGACCGGACGCGTCTGGTCAGTGGTGACCGGACCCTGCGTCCGGTCAACACTTAAACACTGGTGTGCGGATTGAACTGACCGGAGCGTCCGGTCAGAATGACCGAAGCGTCCGGTCACCCCGCAGAGGCACGTAACGGTTCGTTTTTCAGCCCATGTTATGAATAGAAGCTCCACTCGTGTGTGGAGTCACTTTTGCTCATTTCAACAGCTGAAACACACCTTAGAGAGTGCCAAGAAGAGCAAGGTCCTAGTGAGGTGATTGAGATTTGAGAATCCAAAGAGAGCCCTCATTAGTGAAGATCAAGAGTAGCAAAGTGTGCATCTACCCTTCTCCCTAGGTTTGTTGTGATCAAGTGAGAGTTCGTGCTTGTTACTCTTGGTGATCGCCATCACCTAGACGGCTTGGTGGTGATTGGGAGCTTGGTGATCATCCGGAGAGCTTGTGGATGACCCAACTCAATTTGTGAGCGGTTGTGGATGATTCACCGCGATGGAGTGTCAAAGAATCAACCCGTAGAGAGCACTTGATCGTTACGCGGATAAGGGGGAGCTACACCCTTGCGCGGGTGCTCCAACGAGGACTAGTGGGGAGTGGCAACTCTCCGATACCTCGGCAAAATATTGCCGCGTTTCCTCTCCTCTCTTTACTTTGAATATTTACTTTGAACATTTCAATTCTTGTCATTTACATTACTAGAATTATCATGCTAGAGTAGGATTGGAACTAGGTTGCTAAACTTTTGTGCGTTAGATCAATAGAAACACTTCTCTAGGCACAATGGGTTAATTGGGCTAAACATAGGACTTGTTTATTGCGAAGAAATTTAGAATTAGTCCAATTCACCCCCTCTTGGACATCTTGATCCTTTCACATGCGTCAAATCACATCCTGCGCCTCGCCGCGCCTTCTGCCGTGGCGCGTCACTGCCACGTCCAGATCCACGACACGGCAGCCCCGGCCACGTCAGCGTTCAGCGGCCTGGTCGCTGCCCGTCACCGCTCCTACCGTGCCAACATGCATGGCGCGGCAACGTGATTTCGCCACGCCATTTGAATAGGCGCGGCTAAAAGCATTAGTTTAAAAAAATTAAACAATGTTATATTTAAAAATAATTTAAAAAAAGTTTTTAAAATAAAAAAATCCAAATATCCGAGGGGTTGAATTGTAAATTGTGTTCTGGAACTTTTACCAGGGACTTATTTTACGCCGCTGTCACGATACACCCTCCGTTGCAAACTACGGCAATTTTTGGACTTATCCAGCGTCACCAACAACAATCAATCCTTTTTTACCGTATACGGAACAGCAGAAAGTGAAATTGAAAAGATACAGTCTGATTGGCTGGATATATGTCATTATCAGCCACTCTCATGGGATAGAAATTTTTATTGATTGGTTCTTTGTATTATCTTTTGGGCCTTATAAAAGGGTCTCTCAGCTTGGTTCTGCAATTACTTAAATTTTTGGCGTTTCTGCGACTCCCTGCTTGGAGCTTACCTAACTAATAATATTGTTAGTGCATGGTTACACATATTAAGTGATATCAATGTATTTGAAGAAGTTTACAAAACTGGCTTAGCCTGTCTGGGCTAAGCTGTCTTATGCTAGGTGATTTTTAAAGTCGTCTTTTCTTGGACTCCAAATTAAATGTCCTATATATGTTTTTTTTTTCAGTTGTATTGACATGAGAAATGTAATGATGGAGTCTATTTATGCTTTTCAACAAAGTTATCAAAATCGGGTTAGCTGATTTCTGCTAGAGAGTTTAGGGTCAACATGTTTTAACAATTTTGGTTGTCAACAAAATAAAATAAGGATTTTTAGAATATAGTTACACAAAGTAAACATGGTAGGGAGACAAGATCCTCGCCGGTACAGCGGAACAGCCACTCGACACTCGACAGAGCCACAGAGGTGCAATCGAAACTCGAAAGGGGTTTCAGTTTGAGATCTTTCAGTTTCGGTGCCAAAATCTTGCGAGATCCGTCACCTGGAAGCTACTGTTCTGGACGGACCTCTTGGTTTTGCTCGTGGGTTGTGATCCACTCTTGTGCGACGAAGACCCGCCACCGGTTTGGTGAGCTTAAACAACTCCCCTCTGATGCCACTTGTGACCTTATGTGTGAACCTAGCAGGCTAGCAGCCTAAGCACACTGTTAATTTGCTAAACAAACGCTGCAAGGTGATGTGACCTGCTCATGGACAGCTAAATCCAGATGCGTCATTACAGCATCCGTGGCTTATCCTGTGGATTAGGGCTTATAAAATGGAGTTTAGTTAACGAGAATGAAATGAAAAATGAAGTAGTTGCATAGTTGTGAACTTGAGACAAGAAGAACAAGGGTGCCGAGAAACAAAGAGGAAAAAAAAATAAAGAGAACAAAAAGGAAGAGAGTAAAGTTGTCTACATCACATTGACTTGTGAGCGACCGCGGCTCACGTCGGATGCATAAATTGCTTCTGGGCAGTACAGTAGTACCACACAGTTTGCCAGAGAGAGAGAGAGAGGGGGGGAGGTAGAGATAGAGAGAGGAGGAGAGGGAGGACGAGGCGGCGGCGGCGGCGCCATCACTCCGTTCTTCTCCGCTGATCTGGAGGAAGGAAGCGAGGTACGCACTGCTATCTCCTTCCAGTTCGTTCGAGAAGACGGCCGTTGGATGATTCGGCGGGCGCTCTTGGTCTGGAGCGAATTCTTTTTGTCTCCTGTGTGATTGGTTTCTTGATCGGAAAGAGAGAAGAGTCCCAAATTGCTTGGTCCTGTGGCAATTGGAAGGCAGAACAGAAGGCAGAACCTCCCTGCGAACTTACTCCGGCTGATTTCGATGAACCGGAACTGTTTTAGGTGTATTTTAGCTCTGGTTGTTCTTGGTAGGAGTGAAATTTAGTAGCACCATTTGGTGCCTACGTTCTTCTGTGTGGCAAATTGCCCTTCCTGCGATGCGATATGAGGCTCTTCAATCTCTGTTGGAAGACGCTAGACATTGCAGACATAAAAATAATTTTACTCCAATCGTGAGCTCGAAATCCAAATGTTAATTCGGTTCATAGTTCAGACAATTGCTTGAGCATGTTCAAAATTTGCACGAGATATCATGTACTTGATTGAATCCCCGTCTTCACCGCTAAATCGTTGCAGGGGAGTTGCAAATCCATCAATGGCCACTCCCACTACCTATTCAGTCCGCATCTCCTCGGAGACCCACAAGATTGAAGCCTGGGTGGCGTCTGACGAAGCTCTGGCCAGGCAACTGCAGGAGGAGGAGAACGCGCGTGACGCTGCTGCCGACACCAGAGAATTCGCCGGTACAGCTCCACTCTCTGAATCTGTCCCTTCTTCTGAATGTAGTCAACTAACACGGTCACTGGCCACATGCTCATCCTTCATTTTCAATTCAGGCAATGTGTCCTTGGAGTCATCGTCACCGGCTGTTGAGTACAGGCCTGCACAGAATGCACCTCAGGTTTGTTGTTTGGGCACTCTTCTCGTTGAACTTTTTGGTTCATTGGGATTGTTGTCTTACTCTTACATGAAAAGGACTCCATTTGTCTCAACTGGAAGAAACATGACGATGATTTGTATCCACATTAGGTTGCAAGGGAAGACAATGTGGACCCAGATAATATGTCATACGAGGTATGCTGATTATTGTTTCCTGTGATGGAATGGAAGGAATGATCTGAAACTCTCATCTCATGTAGGATATGCTAGTAGCAAAGGGTAAAATTACTTTTGGAGTTTTTGTAGTAGAACAAATAGCTTGGAATGGAAGGAATGATCTGAAATTCTCATCTCATGTTGGATATGGTAGTAGCAAAGAGTAAAATTACTTTTGGACTTTTTGTAGTAGAACAAATAGTTTTTTCTGAAGACTTCCTGAAAATTCGGTACATTATTTCCTATCAACAGATTAAGTGCATCCTGCTAAGAATGTACATCTCTGGGGAGGCTTAACCTTCTTTTTTGGAAGAAAAAAATGATTGGACGGGATGCTAAGTTCGTCAGCAGTCTATTTTTTTTAGTACTCTTTGCCAGGAATATAATATTCAGGGTATGCAGCATGTGACTGGAGTCCAAGCATATATGTAGGTGAATATTGGTGGAGGCAAATGAAGCAGCGCTTCCTTTTCTCTGTGGACATTGTGCTAAGAGCAAAGTGCATCAACAGTCCCTAAACTTGTTTGACGATGTCACCTAGGTCCCAGAACTATGAATTTGTAGTTTTATATCCCAACTTGCTAAGTATGTCACTTCAAGGGGAAAATATGTTTTGCAAACTCATCTCTTGGTGGAAACATGAAAACTCATTCAAAATACGCATTTGACGTCCATTTTTCTAACTAGCGTGTAACTGCCTGCGTGGCATGCTAACAACCCACATGGAAAAGCCCATCTTTCACTTTTCTTCTCTCCTCATCTCCCATAAATTGAGCAACACCCGCCAGGGTGGAGCAACATCTTATGGATGCCAAGTGCCCAAGTGTAAGGATTAACACTTCAAAGATGTTTGGACCTTGAGTGACACAAATCAAGTTTGGGGACCTAAAATTGCAAATTAATAGTTTTGGAACCTGGGTGACACCTCTGAACAAGTATAAGGACCGCTGGTGCACTTCACTCTTGTGCAAAATCCTAGTGCTAGTGCCACTTCTAGATAGTGAATCTTCAGACCGCAGAGCTGAAGTATTCTTTCCTGCCAATTATATGGTTTGGTCCATTCCTGTCCTTGAGTCCTTGTGCTACTTACTATACAGTAGAAACAAGGACTGGCTAGTGGAGCCAACTTCAGTGTTGAGTTAGGTTCACAAACTTCAATCAAGAAGTACAACTCCCATGCTTTTTTAAAAAGTTGAAAACCACATAAGAGCATGTTGTTTTGAAATATACAAGAGTGAACAGATCAAGCTAACTTCCATGTTATAGAACAAGAATTAGGATTAGTACATACCAGAAGCAGCTGGGCTGGTCAGCAGCAGCTGCATCTTTCAGGTTCAGAGCTGGTCATTGTATCCTTGTTTCATAAAAATATTCAGTGCTTTAACTAAAATCTATCACTTATGGTGGATTTCATGATAATATTATTTCTATGGAACTCTCATTTATTTTATTTTGTAACTGTTGTAGCAACTACAAGCATTAGGGGAAGCAGTAGGAACTCAGTCCAGAGGGTTATCTGATGAGCTGATATCTTATTTGGAGCCATTTAGGAACAAGTGCACGTTCTTCTCTAGGAAAAAGAACAGTGAGGAGTACGTAACCGCACAATTGTACTTTGCCAGATTTGCTCATCCTTTTGAATTTGGAAGTAGAAATTTAAATCGTTAAAGATGCTGAAGGGCGGGCCTGGTGCAAGCGGTAGAGTCTTACCGCCTGTGACCGGAAGGTCCTGGGTTCGAGTCGCGGTCTCCTCGCATTGCACAGGCGAGGGTAAGGCTTGCCACTGACACCCTTCCCCAGACCCCGCACAGAGCGGGAGCTCTCTGCACTGGGTACGCCCTTTTTTTTTTTAAGATGCTAACAGATACATAACTGCATTGTACCTTCCCTGCAGATGTGTGATCTGCAAAACAACATATAAAAGCCGGCAGAGGATGATAAGACTGCCCTGCAGCCACTGTTATCACGCAGATTGCATAACTCGCTGGCTTAAGATCAACAAGGTAATGTTCTGTTTTCAAATACAGAAAGAAAATCTGCTGTCTTCCTTTTACAGACAGATGCTACTATATGCTTCAAAGGTTTAAACATTTTTTCCTGTTGATTCTGAATCTCTCGTAGTCAGCGGTGGAGCGTGGGGATTTTGGGGGGGGGGGGCATTGTTTAGTAGAAATCAATGTATAGGAAAATTTTGCTGCTCTAGTTTTTTTATTATCTTCTCTTATTAGGAATTAGCACGGCATTCAGCAAACAAAACACTAGCAGTCTATCAAGTCTCAGCCATTTTTCCTATCTCATGGAACAAGGAGATGGCAAAGAAATGTTGGCAGAGACAGGGGAGACAATTGCTCAGGTTGGCCTCCATGAGGCTCCGCTAGTGCTCGTAGTCATATGAAAGCAACTAAGGCCGTTTCAGGGCATATGTGTTGTTTGAACCCATTGGATTTTCCATAGAGTACCACCTGATCTCTACCTGTGTGCATATTCAGGCATGCCCAGTCTGCAACGAGGAGGTGTTTGGATGAACTACAAAGCTCCTGGCAAATGCTGCAGTTTTATTGTTATTGACTTGCAGCGTGCTTTTGAGAAGACGTTGGTCACATATGGTCCATGCTTTGTGATTATGTGAGCCTAGTTGGCGCCCTTTGCTTGAGAAAACTGCCCATGGGTCTACACGTACTGGTAACTGGACCAGGTCGTGTTTTATGACGCGTCTATCCATCTTAGTTTTATCACAAATTGATAAATCTGTGTGGGTATTTTGGTAGTTTGGTTGCCATTTTCTGAATATAGTGAAGGTTTTTTTTTTCCTTTTGAGAAGTTAAAGGAAGAGCAGTTTAATATGTTCATATGATGATTTGATTATGGAAAGAAACAATATTGTAGATGTTCTACACCTCTTCTTCGTTTTTTCTATTTTTTTCTCGGACCTCTGTACCACCATGCATGCCACTTAGTTGCACAATTGCTTGTTTCAGTAGGAAAAGCTTATGGCTAGTAGAATTTGAAATGCATCTTGGATACACTCCAAAAATATCTTGGGCCTTGGATTAGTATTCTCAGAGTGATTGGCTGTTTAAACGATGGCACTGATTCTGACAATACTAATTATATAATGGTGCATGATCCGATGCTGACTCAGATCCACACCATTTTAGGTCTAGATTCTTGTGCCGATACATGTCCGTTCTGTTGTCATATTGCTCTTTCTGCCACTTCTATTGTTCTTTGACTTTCAAATTCTTTTGACTTTAAAATTTCAAACCCAAATGTAAATAAAATGTTTTTTTCTAAAAAACCAAAGATCACCAAATTTCAAATCAAAGACCTTCAACCAAACTTTAACGATGGATGTTTGACCTTCAAACTTTAGTCGATGGATGTTTGACACAGTGGCGGAGCCACACGATATGCCGGGTATGCCCCGGCATACCTGTTTGACCGGCAAGTGTACAATATAATATAAGTATTATACATATGTATTTATAAAAAAAAAAAAAATACTCATCTGATCACGCCATCATGGAAGCAGCAAGTTAGAAGGCCCAGGAAGCGGCCCACGCAAGCAAGTACGTACACGCCTACATGATAGTTCTCTATTGGCTTTTGGTATTCTACAATCGGGATCCGTTCATCGGGGCTGATTCACGAACTCACGACGCCGCCGCCCTGATGATTGATGCCGAAGCCGCTGTGGTGAGGCGTGACGGACGGCGACGCCCTGCTGGTCGGTGCCCTCGGGCCTCTGCCTTGCTGCCTTCCGTTCTCCGATCACGCATCTACAGTTGTAGTTTGCACGGCCGCGCAGTCACGGAGGCTCGCCGATTCGCTATTTGTGTTAGGTATATAAAATTTAATCTTCTGCTCTTCGTCTTTTTAGAAAATTATTGTCTAATTTCATAGCTATTTGTTAACATCACAAATAACAAATTGTTTAATATTTATACAGTTATAAAGAAAAATTCGGATATTGCGTCACTTTTTCAGAAGCATCAAGCAAAAAAGGCAACGGCAGCTGCTTCTGCTTCTAATCATTCCCCCGATCTGGTTGAACGTGTGGTGGAAGAGCGGACTCATGAGAGAATTGAGGAAATTGCAAATCCTATGCCACCGCCTCCGCCACCGCCACAACCGTCTTCACCGCCACTGCTACAACTCAGATATTTTTCAAGTTGATGGAGATGATATAATCAAGATATTTATGTCCCTTCGAAAGCGTCGAATAAAATAGTTAGAAAAATAGCATTGTAAGTCTTCGGTTCTCTTTTATGCCTATATTTCAATTATCGGTATGACTTTTGAACTATTTATACTATATTTAGTTGATGGTTTGAACTTAATCCATGAATTTAAGCCTTATTGTGTTACCTAGTGCATATATACCGAATTACGTTGTCAACTTTACAATTATTACCGAATTGGTAAAATAGATTTACCGAATTATATATGAAATTTTTTGGACGGTATACCCTAAGCTAAAATCCTAGATTCGCCACTGGTTTGACACATACATGGAGTATTAAATATAGACTAATTATGAAACTAATTGCATAGCTTGCGACTAATTTACGAGACGAATCTTTTAAGTCTACAGCCTGTTCGGGAGGCCGTATCGTATCGTGGATTATTTATAATGTAGTGGTTTGGTGTGAGAGAAAACATGTGCTAGTCTGAAAATTTACGATCGCTTATTGAAAGCTTAACAGCAGTGCTAATTGGTCCATGATTTGACAATATAGTGCTACAGTAAATATGTGCTAGTGACGGATTAATTAGGCTTAATAAATTCGTCTCATAATTTATTTTGTAATTTATTTTTTTATTAATATCCGAACACCCCATACGACATCGTCACGTGATACCTCCTAGTCACCGGATCCAAACACCCCATTAACCTGGTGGATGAGTTGGTTCAGAAACTTCAGAGGAGCAACTGATTCTTTGAGTGCTCTTTTGTTTACTGTAACGGTTCTTGTATGCAACTGACTCTGAACTTCTATGTTTTTTGCATAAACAAGATTGCAGAGTCTGAAGGTAGATGTGTCTGATCAGTGATCAGTTCGTACTTGCAGTAACAGATGCCATGCAATTGTCTCGAGCACTTCTATTGCTTGCTGCCTTCCTGGCGCATCCGTGGCCAGTTGGTCCGACGGGGTTCGTATTGGCCTGGAGATCGGGGTGGGGGTCAACCTGCAGCGAGTCAGACTCCACTAGCAGCAAGTTGCGAACAGTGACTCCTCACCGTCCTCTTCCAATCCAAACCACCCAGAGCAAGCGGCCGCCGCTAAGCACACACGAACGCAGGTCGGGCGGGAATGCAACGCGCCGCGCTCCTCCGCCCGCTCGTCGGGTCCCCTCTCGTATCCGCGGGTCCCCTTGCTCAGGTTGCTGTGCGCCGCCGCTGCCGCTTCCATGGGGGTGTTCGCGTGAGGTCCTCAACCGGGGAGGGCGGAAGCGAGCCCGGAGGCGGAAGCGGAGGCGGCGAGGGCGCCGGTGCCGCGGCGTCTTGGCTGAGCTCGGCGGTGGGGGAGAAAGTGGACGAGCTTCTGCGCCGCGAAGAGAACCGGGCCCTGCTCGAGGGCGTCGAGGACGCCGAGCGCCGCGTTGAGCGCGCGCGCGCCGCGCTCGCCGACATCGAGCGCCAGGAGGCCGCCGCGCGCCTCGCCCGCAAGGAGGTTCGCCGCCTCGAGAAGCGGCGCGATGAGGTATGCTGACGTGCTGCTATCCACGGCGACGCGCTTGGTGGCTCCAGCTTGTTCGATGTTTTGCCTGCTCAGTGAACGATGCCCATGCCGTGATGGTTTCCCATGAATCCATGATCGGTGGGTCGCTCACAGTAGAGCGACCTGTCCTGCATGCACTAGCGTTCAGCCTCCCACACTGCTGCACACATAACAGACCCCACACGGCCAACACGAAGCACGAACGGGTGCCATGTTGTTCCTGGGAGATGCAATCTTAATAAGCTGTGTGGCCCTTAGATGTTTTGCGAATGCGGCTGTTGTAGCATTGGCTATATGCAACTGTCAGAGATGATGTCAACTGTATATGATAATGAAGTTCTGCAATCATCCAAATTTCTTCCTGACATGCTGGGAAGACATGAATATTTGTTGCGTGATGCTTTGTTTAGTCTCTTTCTTTTTAATAAATTCTTACAAGGCCGCATTGCATAAACAAGATTGCAGAGTCCCAGCGGGAATTGCTTCAAGCAAGAGAAATGATCGATGAAGCTCAGCGTTCCTTGTCTTCTAGTCTTGAGGAAGAAAGCTTTGGAGATATGTCAAGTGGTGATGTTGATGAAGATAGCGAGAGAATAGAATCTGTTAAAGCTGCTGCAGTTTCCTCTATAGTTGGTGTTCTGGCTAGTTTGCCCATATCTTTCTATGAAGTTGAAGATCTGCCACAACTATTCCTTCGGTCATCAATTGTTTTCATAAGTTGTGCTTTGTTTGGAGTCACATTCCGGTACGCTGTTAGAAGAGATCTGGATAATATCCAACTAAAAACTGGGGCTCCTGCTGCATTTGCTTTTGTTAGAGGTAGAACCAGGCAACATGGTTTGTTAAAGCTCATAATCCTGAGAATGTACTTCTATTTACTGGAACTCAACTATCTGCAGGCCTTGCTCTGCTGGAATCTGGAAGAACCCTCGAGCTGAGTACTGATACCTTAATATCAGTTACTCTTGATGCTGCAGTCAGTGTGGTTGAGAACATTTTCATATTTCTGCCTGCTGCTGTTGCATTGGACTTTTGTTTTAAGATAAGATTTTTGAGTACCTTTCCTAGAAGAAAATAATAGCTTCCGTGAGGAATATGTACGATCAGTAACAATCTTGATTGCTCAGATGGTCGTATGTAACACAAATGATATCTTAGATTCATTAAGGAAAAATTTCCCCCATGCACTCAAAGTTCCATCAAGTCTACCAAATAATATTTTTACTTAATCTTCTTCCTAAGATCTTATTCAACAAAGATTACTCATAACTTTGCTGTGAACGTGAATTTCACTTTCTTCTTGATTGTCCTGCTCTTTATGAGGACTAGCATAGATGGACGTATGCTGGAATGCCTCTTCACAATACCTGCTCCACATGGGGTTTGATAAATTTTAGATGGAATTCAGTACATCCTGGTTTGTCGTTCATTCAATCCTCATCCTGGTGTAAACAGAATTCGCTACACCCTGTTGTAAAGTGTGGATGTGGACGTGCAACCAGCAAAACTCACAGATGAACATTCTGGTTGTCGTACCTGAAGCTTTCTTTGAACCGGCAAGTGACCTTACTATGCCAAGCCTTTTTCTCTGTAGCAGCAGTGAGCGTGGATGAGATGATTTTTTTATATAAAAAGAATATTATTCAGATATATTTTTCCTAGACAATTGGGGTGAGGAAAACTGTCCATGTCACCCAGCCTCTCTACTGTGTTTCCATATCCTTCATTTTTGTTGACATTTTCAACAGATTTCAACAACTTTTTCTTTTACTTTATTGACGCTCAACTGGGTTAGTATTTTTGCTGGCCTGGAACCGCACATGTGCCTTCTTTCTTCGCTTGAAGTTCTGACTTTCTGAGTCTGAGCTATTCCATCCACCAAATCAAGAGGATGATGCCATGTTCATCTCAAACTATCATGATTATTCATGAGCACCTTTTCAATCCATTCGTATGCCTTGCTGACATCCAACTGGAGGCATTGGAGGCATCAGCCACCAAACACTGGCCATCTCAAATAAACGCCCATTTCTCCAGGTCTGAAACAAATAAACTTTAGCTGCCGAGGTGGCCAAGTCCGTTCAGATCAGGAAATGGCAGTACTGTTAGGCAGCAGTAGCACACATTTAACCATGTTGCTGCACCGTCTGAGATCACTTTTGCTTCGTTGAGCCGTCTGTCCGTCCAAGATGGAGCAAACTGACACAGACACTTCACAAATTTATTATTTTCTTCAGGAAAAGAATAACCGATTAGTTTGGGGAATAATTGTTCAATCATGCAGGCCTTTGGTGAAGGGAAACTCTTTTGAAATGGCAGATTATATGAGGCAGGCTATATACCTTTGAGCCTTTTACCCGTGTGTCATTAAAAAAGTTTATAATTACACACAAGCCATTAAAAAAGTTGACCGCACACATGTTTCACTGCTCTAAGGGCCCGTTTGGCATGGCTCCGGCTCGTGAAAAAATAGCTCTAGCTCTGGCTCGTATGGAAAAACAGTTTTTTCTGACTCTGGCTTATTTTGTACGAAAACGTTTGGTAAAACGGCTTAAAGAAGATGTGAAATGTCCAAAATACCCTTATATTTTTTCTTTTTTCTCTTCATTTCTCTTTCTCTTTCTTTTCTTTTTCTTTCCTTCTCCCTTCTTTTCTTCTCCTTATCCCAACGGCCTCACTCCATCCATCTCTCTCTCTCTCTCTCTCGGGCGTAGCAGGAGGCCGGCCCCACCAGAGCAGGGAGGGGCCGACAGTGGGGCGGAGCTGGAGCTCGAGGCCGGCGGTGGGGCGGAGCGGAGCAGGGAGAAGCCGGCGGTGGGGCGGAGCTCGAGGCCGACGGAGTGGAGCATGGAGACGCTAGCGGGGTGGAGCTCAAGGCCGACGGGGCGGTGTAGGGAGGCGGCTGTCGGCGCGCGGCGTCGGGGAGGAGAGCAAGCCGGGGACAGGGATGGAAAGTGACGAGCTCGAGCCGGGGTAAGCCAGTATTTTTGGCTTCTCGCGTGGGGAGGAACTGAGTCACCGGGTTTTGCGAGGCTTTTGCCGGCTTCTTGTCGCAAGCCGTTTTGCCTGTCGCCGTTTGGCAGGGCTTCGCCCGAAGCCGCTCGAGGAGCCGCGGCAAAAGCCCTGCCAAAGGAGGGCTAAACTTCTTTGCCTTACTAAGCCATTCCGTTTGTTTGTTTTTCGCCATTTTGTAGCCCTTACAGGTGGGATCCGTCAGTAAAATTGTCCAGCCCTTGGGACTGAGGTGGCGGCCACACCGTCCGACCAAGCGCCGGCGAGCGACTCGACACCACAGAGGCACATATGCCGAGTGGAGGCTCGATCTACTCGCTCTCCGGGATAGCGGTCAGGTCGGGGGAGAACCTGGACGCCCTGCCACCCCGGTACGCCACCCTCCGCTTCTGCGCCGCCACCACAGCAGGCTTCGCCGCGACGGGCGAGCATACCGCGTCAGCCGCCGCGTACTCCTCCTCGGGGGCCGGGAACACGAGCGGCGCCACTGCGCCGCGGCGGCGGCATGGCGAGGACGGCTGGGCGGCCGCGGCGGCGGCGGCGGCCTTGACGAACGCCGAGCTGGCCCTGACCGCGAGCGCGGCGACCTCGTCGCGGGTGAGGCGGCGGCGCTGCATCTCGGCGGGGAGCACGAAGTAGATCTGCCCCGCCTGGAGCTCCTCCCCGGGGCGACCGCGGCCACGGCGACGGGTCCCCCCTCGAACGCGATCCCGTCGGCGTCATAGAGGAACCACGACGCCCCCTCGCCGTCGGCCGCTCGGTGGGACGTACTCCCGGAGCTCGCCGCTGGGCAGCACCACCCTCGCCGTTGCGGCGCCCTCGTCCGCCGCGTCGCACGACACGCAGATGCCCATTGTGCAGTGCAGCTGCAGCAGTAGGATGTGTGTGATCTTGTGTAGTATGCTGCTGCTTCGGTCCGGTCTGGCTTGCGGGCTGCGCTGTCCTTGATTTCGTGTGTCGCTGCTTCTCTTCTCTTCTGGAGATGGCGATGGCCGGTGAGGGAGGAAGACCCGAAGAGGGCGGCTATATGATGGAGGCGAGGGCGGGGCGGCAGAGGCCAGAGGGTGAAGTGTCATGTAGCCTCGAGCGGAGGCAAGACAGGCCGGAAGGTTTGCAACGAGCGAGGGCACAGGGATTCGCGTGCACTGAGCGGTCAATCGTAGTCATCTCCTTATTAGTCCTAAGGGCAGCTAGGAGCATTTCACTGGCCTGTCCCTTTATAAGGCCTACTGAACGATGAAAAATAAACTGAACAAGATCGGAATGACTTATAAGGTAAAGATAATTTAGAACGGTGACATTAACATACGGTCAACTTTTTTTTTTATGATCTATATATAATTATAAACTTTTTTTTTTAATGGCAAGCGAGTAAAAGGCTCTGTACCTTTCCCTTCGCGAGTTCGCGTCCTTCTCTTCTCTTCTCCGTCGCGGTCGCGTCAGAGATCAGGAGAGACTAGAGGAAACAACCACGTCTTGTTTGGTCAAGAATCGCGGAGGAGAACCGAAAGGTGCAGCCTTGTTCAGCAGGGCATCCGCTAGAGCCGGCTGAAGCAGGGGAGCGAGAGGAGAAGGGCAGCCGAGCAGGAGAGCAGCGCGGTGGTGGTTACCTTTCGGAGAGCAAACGACGACGACGACGACGACGCTCAGAGGTTTCCCCGTCCCCGACGGCACGGCCACCGAGGCGGCGCCATCGCGATGGGTCCTCTGGCGCTGAGGTGTAACCCGCCGCCGCCCTTCTCCAAGTCGCCGGGGTCCCTGCTGCTGCTCTCCAAGTCGCTCACACTCTACTGCTGAGCTGAGCTCCACCTCTCTCGGTTCATGGGCGCCGTGGTCTCGTCGGAGGGAGGGGGCCGGGGCCGGGGAGGCGATGGCACGGTGCTGGGCGACCTGCCGGAGAACTGTGTCGCGGAGGTGCTGCTCAGGCTGGACCCGCTGGAGATCTGCCGGATGGCGCGGCTCAGCCGCACGTTCCGTGGCGCCGCGTCCGGGGACGTTGTCTGGGAGTCCAAGCTGCCGAGGAACTACGTGCGCCTCCTCGCCATCGCCGCGGCTGGTGATGGGGAAGGGGCCAGGCTGCCGCGGCAGCTCTGGAGGCGGAGCCGCTGCCCAAGAAGGAACTGTACGCGCGGCTTTGCCGTCGTAACCGTTTCGATGGCGGCAACAAGGTATTCACCTTCTTCAAGAGTTACATGCTCTTTTTTTGCTTAAATTGTATGCTTGGTGAGTCACGTTCTGTTTTATTTGATTAAATTATATGGAATTTGTTGAATCAATTTGTGAGACAGCATTGTATTGTCCAAATTGCGCTTCACAAATTGAGTTTATTGAGACAAATGCAGCGTGTTTGTATTCAGACGTTTTGTAGTCTGATTAGCATATTGATTTTGTAACTGCTCAGTTATAAAATTTGTATGGCACATTGTGCAGGAGTTCTGGCTGGACAAGGGTGGTGGAGGTCTATGCATGTCAATTTCTTCAAGGGCACTTTCAATAACGGGCATTGATGATAGGAGATATTGGAACTTCATTCCCAATGATGAATCAAGGTGCTTTTATCTACTAGTAGTAATGAAAATCTCACTTGGCCATTTTCAGTGATCATGCTTTATATCTCAAAATCCCAGAATCTTAAAGTAGAAGACATTGTTCATGTATGAACTGAGGTGATTTTTCGTATTTGGTTACCGAATTGCATATTATTATTTGGCAGTGTTGGAATTGCATATCTTATGTTCTAGCGTTTTAAATCTAGATGGCTTACCTATACTAAGTTGATATGGATGGTACAGATACTGGCATACACATCATGTTTGCTTCAACCACCATGCTTGGTGACTTGGTGTATGAGACTGAACATCAGCCTAGTGTGCGTGTTGAATTAGTATTTGCAACTAATCAACTTGTGTCCCAACTAGTGAGAGCTAGTTCGTGGTAGAAAATGATGACCATTCACTTACCCACACTAACTAGGTGCCATACCCTCATGAACAATAGTAGCCTTAGGGTTTAAAACTGCACCTGGAGTTTGCTTGAAAGAAGACATGTTCTATTTCCTGTATCTGTATCCTACAATGTTTTGATGGTATATGTTAGAAGAAAGGACAACTAAATTTTAGTCCACTGTGGGAGTTATAGTCATGTGCCCCTAAAGTTTCGCTATTGTGGCAACTGGCTATTCCAATCCAATATCAAAGTGCGTACCCAGTGCAAAGAGCTCCCGCTCTGTGCGGGGTCTAGGGAAGGGTTAGTGGCAAGCCTTACCCTCGCCTGTGCAATGCGAGGAGACCGCGACTCGAACCCGGGACCTTCCGGTCACAGGCGGTAAGACTCTACCGCTTGCACCAGGCCCGCCCTTCGCACGTCCTCATCGACGAGCCAGCGCCAGCCTCCACACGAGGCATCGGCGGGGGGCTGATATTCTTTTCTTTTTTCAAAATGTGCTGCCACATATATCAGATTTTTAGCTTTCACGTAATAAATCATATATCATCATGTATCCCCTGACATTTGCCATTGATTTTTTCTTGTCATGTGAGTAAATAGGACATATGTTACCATTATTCGGCCACTCTAGTGCCTATCCAGTTATTTACCTGTAGCTCTTTTGCCGCATGAACATATGCTACTGATTCAAACCCATGCATATAAAGAAGAGAGATCATGGATTTGTGTCATTCCTTGCAGATTTCACACGGTTGCTTATCTCTCACAAATTTGGTGGTTTGAAGTCAGAGGGGAGGTTGAATTCTTCTTCCCAGAAGGTACATACAGCCTATTTTACCGCGTTCATCTTGGTCGACCATTCAAGCGTCTTGGACGGCGAGTTTATAGCTCAGAGCACATCCACGGCTGGGATATAAAGCCGGTGCACTTCCAAATGTCAACTTCCGATGGACAGCATGTTCAGTCCAAGTGTTATTTAACTGATCCTGGTATCTGGATCAATCACCATGTCGGGGACTTTGTCGTGAAGGACTCGAGCAGACCAATAAACATCAGATTTGCAATGATTCAGATAGATTGCACACACACGAAGGGTGGTCTCTGTGTGGATTCAGTGGTGGTGAAACCGCAATACCTCACGCAGAAAAAAGCACCCTGGACTTAAGTGTAGATTTGTCGAATAAGATGGTCTAGAGATATGATCTATAGTTTTGTTTTGTTCTACGGATGTGCATTTTGTTTAGAGAAGTGCGGTTTTACATTTGCACTTATACAAGTTACAAAGTATTTTGGAGTCGTGTAACGTAACTGAAGGGGTAAGTGATTTTTAATTCCTCTTGTCCCCCTAGGAATATGTTGGACCTCTGTAATTTGTTCATTTGAACTTTGAAATGTACATCTCGTGTGTTCTGCATATCAACTTGCCCTTGTGTACCCACCAAGCCATTTTGCCGATCCAAATTTCCACTAAACTTCCGAATATTGGTATCGTTCATTAGGAACAGAACACATGGAGTCGAGGGTCTTTGCGTTGCTTTGTGCTCTTTGGTCGGTTGCACTTAAGTGATCATGTCATGTTCTTGCTTGAGCTGTTGCCAAAGGATACCAGAGGATGAGAGTTGGAACAAGCCACAAAATGCAAACATGCTTCTGTAGCTCTGCCACTGCTACACTGCTCAATTCAGGACTGAGTACTAACGTTTTTAGGTTGGTTTGCAGGAAGGTAGAAAGAGGCTGAAACGATAGTGTTGTGCAAAACAAAAATATATATCCATAATTTAATTTAGCAAAAACTTGTTACTAAGCTCAATGTAGATTGTGGACAGAGCTGACGAATGTGGGCAACAAAGTAACTGTCCTGTGCCCAGCCACCATGAAAAGACCATCCTAAAATCATCCTTTCGCCTTAACAATCAAGAAAATATCATATTATGCATCATCTCCATTCCGTCGGTATGGCATGTACCGATGATCTTTGGAAGCATTCTTCCTACGCCGCCTCTCGATGAAGGCATCAAGCTTTCCTGCCTCCTGTGAGTAATGAACATAAAAAACTTAAGGACTGAGACAAAATACCCCAGCGTTGAAAAAAAAAAACCTCCAGGTGAACCTGGTAAACTTTACCTTGAGCTCATTGTACTTGTTCATCAGCTTCCTTTCACGAAGTTCAGCTGGTTAAGAAAAAAATCGAAGTAATCATCAGATTGAGAAACAGACAGTAACCATTCGAGTTGAATATAGACAGTGAGGAAAGGAAGGAGGCACTGGGATTGAGGAACTGACATTTCTTCAGATAGTACGGCCGTTTTCCGGACTTTGCTGCTTCCCTCTCTTTCTTGATATGCTCACGCAAGATTTCTGATTGAATGTTCTTTTGAGGATGAGACTTTAACTGCTTATCCTGTAGTTAGGTACATTCCAGGAATCAACTAAACAAATCACCACAGATCATGTTGCTCCCAAAAGCATAACAAGGACAAGTTAAATGGAAGTAATCAGTTTAAAAAAGTCTTTTCATTGTCAACTCCATATAAGAATACAACAATCAAATTGTAGATGCCTCGTATTTCATAGTCAGAGGTGAAATTCTTGGATTCCATTACTGGATGGTAGCAGCTTGTTTCTGACAAGGCGTAATAACTAACATCACCTTATCCTGACTACATTCAGATCAAAACTTGCATGACGGTTGTCTAGTTTGTGATGCAACAACAAATGATTATATTCACAACATATTTTTAGTGGATAAATATAGTCTCAATAGTTTCACTGATGATGGATACTCTTTCTAGTGATGCAGTATGGCTAACATTGCCTTGGCCTACTGAATAGTATAGATAGTCAATAGTTTCACTGATGATGGATACTGTTTCTAGTGATGCAGTATGGTTAATATTGCCTTTGCCTTCTGAATAGTACTCTCAGAGACAGGGATTGGACTGCTGAAGTGAACATACTTTAGTCAAATATCAGAAATCCAGTGGACCAAAAGGTTAACCAATTTTGCTCAGTAAATGATCAGTATTACCTTGAATTCAGGAAGTTTAACTCACTAATAACCACAAAATAAGCATCAATATGGATTCAATTTATCAAAAAAAAAAAAAACTTTCATTGCAACAAACAACATGTTAAGAAGTACTACATACAATCCATGTGACACGACTCTTCATTTCTTCAATGGCATTTGGGTCCTTAGATTTCTTAATCATTTTTTGAAGTCTCTGCATATACAAGAAAATGTGGATGGAATTATTTTCGTCAAACAGAAACATCTTCTAATCAATGCATTTGAAAATGAACGCTGAACACACATCTTTTTCAGAAGGGAAGTCTTCATCAAATAAGAAATTGTATCTTTTCCTGAACCTGCATGCCAACCAAATCAACAAATGTCAAGAATTCATCAGGCTAACAGCCAGTACTAGAGTGACCAACCAAATAACACTCAAGGAATCATGCTTTGGGAAGGAAAAATGAATCAAAATATCAACTGGGTGAAATAGGTCAGGGGTCTGAATTCACCCATTCAATAGGAAGCAAATAAATACTCGCCTAGAGCATTTAACTGAAAACACAATCGAGGACCTCTAATGATATATCAAGATATAATATCAAAGCAGAAATTGACATATAAAAAATGAATTAAATGTGTGTGGACACCAAAGAAAAGAACAATTACATATGCAATGTGTATCCAACTCTTACCCTTCTTTGTCAACAGATCCATGCACGGGCTCAAATCTTGGATCCCTTCCAACCTATGGGAAAGAACAATCTCAGAAATTGATGCGAATTTAGAAGACAACGTGCACAATACAACCTCTCCAGACAGAGTCATTTGCATGAAAGAAATTAAGATGAAGATAAGGACACTAAGTGGAAGTAGAGGAATTCATTGTATAAACTGCACTGTTTCATGATAAATATGAATATCAATTACAACAGATACCATTTATATATGAATTGAACATTAAGATGCATTTCTCAATCCTAGATAACTAAATGACATTAACGAATAAATAAGATAAAGCAAACTGGATTTTACATGTAACAACATTCAGAAACATCCAAGGTGCAGCAGCAAGGCGTGCCCAACCAGATAGTGAGATAGGCGATTGAAAACACACTGTTATCCGTGCATAAGTTTGATGGATGACAGGGATTCAATGAGTTGGCAAAACACAACTTAGCAGAAGTGCAGAGCATATAACATATGCGCACTGCAGAGAGCCTAATCAAATAAAAATACAGTCTCAACATGACAAACCAAACTAAATCGGGGGGCACAACTAACCTTCTTGGGAATCTGTATCACCTCCCTCAATTTCGGTGGCCGCACTTTCGTGCTTATCTCCATGGGCCTGTCGAAAACACACGCGAACCCATCAGGAACAACAGCCACCGGGAACAGCAGAACCCATGAAAAGGCAACATCAGCGGGGCATCGCCGAACCTCTTCTTGCTAGCCCTGCGAGCCTTCTTCTCCGCGGCTGCTTTGGCCGCAGAGGTGGCCCGCGCCAGCGACCCGTCGGCCCTCACGCGCTGCAGCTCTCCGAAGGGCACGTCCGCGAGCGCGCGCTCCAGCTCCCGCTCCCGCTCCCGCTCCGCATCCTCGCCGTCGCTCTCCGACGCCAACGACGAGGGGACCTCCTGCGGCGCCAGCGAACTCTGGTGAGCGCTCCGTGATTCGTGCGAGGAGGTCGGGAGAAGAGTAGAGCGGAGCCCCAGCTCACCTCGTCGTCGCCCGATTCGTCGGAGGCGCTGGCGGATTCTTCTTGAAGGTCGCGCTTGGTAGACGTCGAGGCAATGGAGGCCGAGCTGGAGGCTCCCGTGCGGCGGCGGTTGTCGCCTCTCATGGCGGCGGCGGCGAGGCTTTGCTTCGAGCGTCGTGTGCGCGCAGGGTTACGACGGAACGGACATCAGATTCGGGCCGCTTCGTGTAGAGTGAACCATTTGAGCATGAATAGGCTCGGCCCGGATTACTAGCACGTGCTAAATAAAAGCCCAAGAACTGCCCCTAGGGCCCAATTATGATCGGCCCAGATGTGATCTGAATTTCGGGACCAGTTTGTAGTCTGCCTATCAAACACTGTGTGAAATCTACTGCAATCACTGGAGTCGCTGTCCGCTTATATCTTTTCGGCAACGATATTCTTCCTGGTATCTTGCTTGTGTTACCGTCAATTCCACGACGTAGAGAGATCCGTGCAGTGCAGGCCGTTGCTTTCCACAGGCTTATGAGAGTCCAGACCTTTTGTTAGCTTCCGGCGAAGACGATCGGCGACGGTAACTGCTCATCAGAACGAGATGCAGACGGGTGAACGCCTTGGCTCCTGCAGAAGCTACGCCGTTGCTCTCATCTCAAGATACAACGCGATCGGTTCTATCTTGAGAGATGACCTGCTTGGTTGTTTTCTTGCTCCTTGTTCTCCTCCTCCACACATGCCTCAGTATGCTTGTTGCCAGCCATCGCCATGCCCTTGAACAGGTCATAGTTGACGCTTAATCGATGCATTTCACTTGACTTTATTATTATGTGTCCCTTTCAGACGCCGTCCTACTCCTACACCAACTGTACAAATGCCTTACAGCACGTTGCAGTGGTGGTGGATGCGAGCAAACTGTGCACTCCAAGTCCAAGGCACAGAGCTTGCTGTTAAGATGTCACATGGTTTCTTCTACGATCTGAAACCCGTAGGCTAGAAGTAACACAATTGTCGACGGCAAGCAAAGCTTCCTGCACAAAACTCATGTTCGAAGCAGATCGTATTTCTTTTCTTTTCTTTTTCGAGAGGGACCAATGGTATTTCGAAGAGATGGATCCCACAAGTTCACACACGTTGACACCGAGGCGGTTCCCGAAAGGAAAAGGAAAGGGACTATTCAACCGTCAGTCTGTGTGCTCTCATCCAAAGGGTTTGCAGGCTTCATACTTCCTCGACAGAAAATGATGCTTTGGAATTGGACCCCTGCTGCAGTGCTGCTGGATGATGTTCTCATGGGCCTTGTTTAGTTGGCGAATTTTTTTTAGAAAATGGTATTGTAGCATTTTCGTTGTTATTTGGCAATTAGTGTCCAATCATAGTCTAATTAGGCTTAAAAGATTCGTCTCGTGAATTTCGTCTAAACTGTGTAATTAGTTTTATTTTTTATTTATATTTAATGCTTTACGTCGTCCAAAACATTCGATGTGACGAGAAATCTTAAAAATTTTACAAAATTTTGAAAACTAAACAGGCACCGTCACCTACCACCAGAACTCCAGAAGCATTGCCTGCAAGTTGCAACACACACAGCTCGCTTCACTTTTTTCTCCATTCCGTGCAGACCATGCACTGGTGCAAGGTGTACATCAGGCATGAGAACTACGGGAAAGATTGTTCCTCCGACGAAACCTCGATACCGAACTGAAGATCTTATCATGTTCTGCAGATGCCTGAGCCTTGCCTAGTAGTGGGAAATAATGGGAAACGAGTGAATGAGCTGTGACACTCACACACTGAACAGCGACATGTATGTCCAAATCAATGCTAATGGCGATGGGATCTAGCTTGATTTGCTAATTCAATGTCGACAGCTATGATCTGTATGGCGTTGGCCCTGCTGAACAGTCTTTTATGGATGTGCTTTAGGCCTGGTTTAGATGACATGAAAGTTCCAAGTTTTTTCACTCTCTCTCCATCACATCAATTTTTGGACGCATGCATGGAGCATTAAATGTAGGTAAAAAAAGTAACTAATTGTACAGTTTGGTTGTAAATCACGAGACGAATCTTTTGAGCCTAGTTAGTCTATGATCGAACAAAGTTTGTCAAATACAAACGAAACGTGTTACAGTGTCCAAAACAAAAAATTGCAATCTAAACATGGCCTTGCTTACCAAGTGAACAGCGACAGGGACACGGCAGAGGTTAGCTGTGGTGGTGGTGAAAGCAGAGCAGAGTACATTGATCATGCATCTTTTTCATGTCCTCTTGCAAGAATGGGGGCTACTCCTTTTTATTTCTTGTCGCCGCTTTTTATCCTTTAAATGTGCAGGTACAATACTATTGATGATTTGGCCCCATTCGTTTTTCTTATAATCCGTCTTTTTCAACTTGTTTTTTCAGACAGAACAGTGTTTTTCTCTCACAACAAATAAACCGGAACAGTGTTTTGGCTTGTTTTTTCAGCGAAGTGAACGGGGCCACAGCCTGATAAAGTGGCCAGGAAGTGGTTTAGTTTAACTCCTTTATTATTGCCAATCTGTTGTGAAGAACTGACCGACAAATTTCCTTCTTCTTTTTTGTTAAATCAAACTCTCAGATCACTAAACAAACCAAATCCATAATGTTATGTAAATTAATACATGTCAAAGAGAGTTTATGAACATGTTGAATTCAGAGAGTGGACATGGGGAAAGGGGTCCAGAAGTGTTGTCAGTTTTTAAGCTATGATATGCAACCGACAGTGCAAAATGCTGCATTTTTTAATTCCATTTTATAGTTCGCAGAAGAAAAAGTTCAAGAAGTTGTGTTTGTAGGATTGACTGGTTGGCTATAAAAAAGTGGAAAGCAGGTTTCTACCCACACAACTACTTCTGTTTACACTTGATGACCTGAACAATAACAGTACAGGCGTACTTCTTGCAAGTGACTTGGTTAGGTTTCGACACCAAACGTAACACAACAGCGCATTCAGATTCTAGTTCTCCTCCCCCATGTGAATCGGCTACTTACTCTACCACCATCCCATTCTTCCCAGATGGCCAGATCCCAGCGCAGCATGAGGGCCGTTAAAAATGAGATATTTAAGAAGGACGAGACACTGATTAGATGCCCCGGAATCATATATTAATCTTCACTCACTCCTTCAGATGGGGGACGCTTTTTCTGAGGCGAAGCTTCAGAAGAATCTGATGATGTTTTGGCACATACTAGATGCGCACATCTCAATCGGCATCGATCGGTCCTCCACGCTCGCAAAGTGCAGTTTGCGAAATACATTGTGGGGCGATGATACGTGAGGTGGTATGTATCCCAAAATCAAAAGCAAAGGCCGGCAGCGGCAGCCACCACATTATGGCAGGGAAAAAGAAGATGGAAAACGTATTATTGTTGGGTAATAAAGACTAAAGAAGCTCAGCATTATGATTGCTCCTAAAAAAGCCTACGAGAGATATTCTTGCTTCATGTCCAGTTCTTGTACTTTTGTAGCTTTTGCAGGCATCGACTTTGAGATAGCTTGTGGCCGTGGGTGATGTTTCGATCTTGAGTATGTATGGTCAGCGAGCAGAAGCTGGATCACTGAAATGTGGATTGTGCATCTGTAGATCTCGCTCGGACAAGTTGTTAGCTGACCCGGTAAAAGCGCAGAGGAGAGTACCAGTAGCAGTTTGTTAGATCAGAAAACAGAGAGCGAGTTGCGTCGAATTTATGTGCACCACGACTGCAGCATCCAGCGCGTACTGACACTAATCATGGAATGAAACCGTGATGATTGATGAATGCCATTCGTACGTGTGGCTGCTGTGCTGGCTAGCTTTCCTTTTGACACTATTCGTTTTATTAGCCCCGTCCTGAGTCCTGGCGAGATCCATCACTAGAACCGCTCGTACGGAGCTGAAAAAAAAAACGGAGAGGCCAAGCTAGCAACACCGGATACGGGCATACGGCTACGAGATATGGCCGATACTGATCCGTAGCTGAAGAACAGATAAGTCTGCTGTACGTACGCTAGTGTAGTGCGTACAGATCGCTAGTAGCCGCAGACGGATGCAGATTGATTTTGTCTGCACATAGACAGAACCGGGCGCCGGCCGGGCGCGAGTGACATGGCGACTGGGATGTGACGGAGATTGGAGACCACGATCGATGCGGCCACGAGCGATGACACGAGGCTAAAGGATGCTCCGACGCCTGCAGAAGTGCAGAGTAGTGGCGCGGTCGGCTGGCGATGCCACTGAAGCCGGGGCCCGGGAGGTCGCGCAGGACGCGCCATGGACGCCGAGCACGCCATGTGTGTTCGCTGCAACCTCAACGCCAGCCAGGTCAGTAAGTAAATAGCCCATGCCGTCTGTCAAGTGTCAACTTGCTGTGCGAAATGCGCTGCCATCATCGTCGATCTCGGAAAGGAAAGGGACCGGCGGAGGATCAGGCCCTATTCGCTTGGTGTTACGAGTCGTACTATTTCAGTAAATAAATAATATTTTTTTTCATAATAAATTAACGAATAATATTTTCAGCTATAACTTTTCAGCGAAAGCGAAGAGGGCCTTAGTTCTTTGTCTGGAGAGGAGGGTATCCGAAGCTGGTTAGTGCACTACTGAGTATAAGCATCTAGCATCAGCAACTTGCATGGCCGCCGATCGGGTAGGCTGCCGCATTGGCCGGACGCGGTGGTTGTCACGAGGCCTGTTCGTTTGCTCGTAAATGATCGTAAATTTTCAGTCGAGAATAGTGTTTTTCTCTCACATCAAACCAGTTAGTAGTAAATAATTCACGATACGATACGGCCTCCCGAACAGGCTTACTCGTAGCTGCCATGCTGCTGCTGCTGCAGTTAAGGCCTTGTTTAGATTGAAAAAATTTCAACCCGATAAATAGTAGCACTTTCGTCTTATTTGGTAAATATTGTCCAATCGTGGACCAACTAAGCTCAAAAGATTCATCTCGTGATTTCCAACTAAACTGTGCAATTAGTTTTTTTTTTTACCTACATTTAATCTTTCTGCAACCGGCTAAAAATTGATGTGATAGAAGAGAGAGTGAAAAAACTTGGAATTTTGAGGATATCTAAACCAGGCCTAAGAATTCAGGGACAAACCGCACGTGCGCAGGTGCTGCACATCCAAAAAAAAAAAGTCCAGTTTTTTTAC